GGGCGGCGCAGGTCCTGTCAGTGACTCCGCTTCCCCCTTCGACGCCGCCTCCCGCCCCGCCGCCGCCCCCGTCGCCGCAACCATCGCCGCACACTCAACCGCAACAGCCGTCGCAGACGCCGCCGCCGCCACAGCCGTCGTCATCCCCGCCACCGCCATCGCCGCTCCCGCTTTCGTCGTCGTCGTCGCCGCCGTCGTCATCGCCGCCGCCGCCGCCGCCGCCGCCGTACCAACCGCCACCGCTGCCGGCCTCTCCGCCGCCGCCACCGCTGCCCTCGCTGCCGCCCGCCCCGAGCGAGCCTCCTCCCGTTCCTCCGAGCACCCCGGACCCTTCCCCCCTCTCTGCCCCCCTCCTCGCCACCCGCTCCCCGCTGCTGGACTCCCGCCCCGCCTCCCGCCCCGCCTCCCGCCCCTCCTCGCCCGTGGGAGGGAGCGGGGCCTCCTCGACCAATGCGAGGCAGCCAGAGGCGTCCCTGGCGGAGCAGAATGCAGAATGTGCCGTCTGCTTTGACCCTCTCCACGCCGCGCCTTGCGCGCTCTTCCGGTGCGGCTCCTTCCGCACGTGCCGCCACTTTCTGCACGAGGCGTGCGCCCGCTCGCTGCCCTTCCCCGAGTGCCCGCTCTGCCGATGCGCCTTCGACACCGTGCAGCCGCTCCCGCCGCTGCTCTCCGACCCTGCCGGCTGGTTCCGCGCCGTGGACACGGGTGGCGAGGCCGCGGGGCACGCCGCGCGGCTTTCGCGGCCGCAGGTTGTCGAGGCGCTGCTGGCGCAGCTTCCCCTGGAGCAGCGCTCGCTGGAGGCGGAGTTCGACAGGCGGTGGGACGGGTGGGCCTCGCCGAGCACGGAGGCCCCGGAGCGAGAGCTGCGCCGGAGACACCTCCTAGACACTTCCTAAAGACACCTCCTAGACACCTCCTAGACACCTCCTAGGCCCCGGAAGGAGAGCTGCGCTACGAGGCGTTCGCGGCGCCAGACAGCGGCGTGCTGGCGCTGGCGCGCTCGGAGCTTGCGAGGAGGAGGCGGGGGTCGCGAATTCAGTTCATTGACTAGTCATTGGTAATGAATCAAGGCGCGTTCGCAGCTCGCGAGGAGGAAGCGAGTGGTTGCGCGCCGCACAGCAGTCCCCGACATCGCCACGGAGAGGCTGCGCTGGTTCGACTACTTTGACGAGGAGAGCGCCGGGCGACTCTCGCAGGCGGGCTCTTAAATGAGCTAATGAATGGTTGATATGAACCTATGACGATATGAACCTATGACGACGGGCGCGGCGGGCCTAACTCACGTGTGGTTGATGTGAGCAGGAGGCGGTCGTGCGGGGGCTGATCAAGACGTACGGCCTCTCGTCGGACCTCGCGCAGGTGGTGCAGATGCGCGAGAACGTCGCCGCCGTGTGGGCGCTCTTTGTCGACGGCGCGGCCGATGAGGGCGACGCTTGCGTGACGCGCGAGGCGTTCCTCCGCCCGGCGGATGGGCTGGCCGACGCCATCATCGCCTCGCGCGCCACGCTCGCGCAATGCCGCGCGCAGCGAGGCGTCGCGGTGGCTTGTCTGTAGCGCAAGAAATAACAGCTGACCCGCACGTCGTGTGGCGTAAGGTAATCTCAGCCATCGCCAAACAGGCGTGTGTGGCACCGACGCGGATGGGAGAGAGAGTTTCTAGAGGAGGCGGCGGCTACCTACTACCTTTTGTACGTGAGAGTGAGAGGGGCTTGATAATCATGGTTGATAGTGTTTTGATGACAAGCTAGCGCATCTCTCTTCTCTGCAGACTGGTGCGCACACGCGCCACACCGACACGCGGATCGACTGCGTGCACGCGCTGCACAATATTAGGGGGTGCGCAGCGCCCCAAAATCCACCACTGTGGGATTTCGCGCAAAAGCTTGACTCTGAATAGCTCATGTACCTCCTGCGAGTGCTGTGGTCGCCGCAGACTGGCTCCGACTTGACGGCAGCATGGAGACGTGATGCCTCCATGCTGCCGTCGAGTCAAAATCGACATACGAGGCGATCTTTGGCCCGCCAGAGGTACATGCGGCGTTTCGGGCGACAACAGCGCTGCGACCGCGAAGTGGCGGTGGACATGCTCCCATGTTGCCGACGCGGCGCCGGAGTGGCCGGCGTTGCTCACTACGACCACGACGGCTACTCTGATGCTCCGGGCCGACCCGTCCTACCCGACGGTGGCACTCTTCCACGTCTCGCTCACGCTGAGAAAAATTCTGAAACGGCGTGCAGCAGAGTCGCCGACGAGTTGGTCCGCGTGCCTCCTCGTGTCCCGCTCCGTTCTCACACATCCATAAACTCACTTTGGCCTCACTGAAGCGATGCCTGAAACCTTAATCCTCGGATTTTAGATTAGGACGCACCGCACCCTCTACCAATATGCAGTCATAAGAGGCTCAAGAAGCCCATTCTCATGGCGGCCACGCGACTGAGCCCTGGCTGTCAGGCTGTCAGGTGCTGTCAGGTGATCTGTCGGTCTGTCGGGCAGCTGTCAGGCACTGTCAGGTGCCTCTGTTCGGCCACGCGACGATCTGGTCGGCTGCCTCTTGTTCGGTCGGGCTGAGCTCGCAGCGGTGCTCGGGGTTGGCGAAGTACGCGGGTGGTTGTGGGTTGGTCAACAGGTTGCGCCTCCTTCCCGAACCCCGAAACGCAAAGTGGTCCCCGGTTGTACCGCCCAATCATAGGGACGGGCAGAGGCGGCAGCCAAGCCACCTTTTGGCCGGCTCTGCCGCGCGTCAGCGGGCACATCACCGCAGCCGCGAGCGTCGCTTCGGAGCTGACGGGACACATGCAAGGGCATGCGCCGCGTCTAGCGGTGCCGTTGGCCCACGGGATGTGCATTCGCTAGTTCCACATCAATGCGTATCGATCCGAGAAGACATGCACGTTGGCATTACGACCATGACCCGTCACGCCATGAGCGTTCGCGGTGAAGAAAGAAGTGTTGTTATCTCGCGGCAAGTCGCGCGGGAGGCACCAGATCGTGTCGATCCGGACGCGGGCCACGACTTTGGCGCCGGGGTGGAGCGTCTTCGTACTTCGAGAGCGCAAAGGCTCTGCCGGCGGGCAATCGAGATGAACACGTCGACCCGCGGAGGCGTGTGCGGCTGCTGCGAGTCAGCCGGGACAAAGGCCTGCTCTGCAACAAGTAGGTGGCACTTGCTCCCGAGGACAAGGTGCTCATAGTTGCGCATGCATTGCGCCTTGTCAGACGATCGCGTGTGCGCCGAAGCGACGCGTGTGCAGCCACCGTGAAGCTGGCGTCGCCCTCAAGGCACGGCTGAAGCGCGGCCGAAAGGAAGCTCTCGGCCTCGCAGAGGTACCCCACGCCCGGCATCGGCGTCGTGGCTCGGCAGCCACATGTACATGTATGTTGTTCACGGCAGCGCGCTCGGGACGCCCCCAGGCCCTGGATGTGAGGTTACTAACTGCACGGTGAGGGGAGGCGTCCCGGCGGTCTCAGGCCCAGTGAGGTAGTGCGCCAGACTATCCCGGATCCTGCTGAACAAGCTCCTCTTGTAGCTCGATCGGTCACACCGCCATCGCCGCCGACGAACGAGCGACGTCTCCCAGGGAGATGATGGAGAGGGGGGACGACACTGCTCGATCTACCCTCTGGGGTCCCTCAGCAGCGTGCACCTCGATCCTGTACCGTGTTTGTTATGACCCCCCCCAATGAACACACCAGTGAGGGAGGGCGAGACGGTCGAGGGGTCCCGCACCATGCGGAATCGACCCTATCAAGTGCTCAAGTGCTCAACTGCACTCCAAGTGCTCCAAGGGACGCGCGAACTCGCGACACGTCAAAGTTACGGCGTTGACTTCTTTTTTGTGATTGGATAAATAAATAAAAACGGACACCTGTCTAAAGCCGTACTGTGAGATGGGTAAAAAGGACAGGTCCCCCGCCCGTTTGTGATAGGTCATAGGAAATAAATAAATAAATAAATAAACAAAGAACCAGACAAATACCAAATTCCAAATCGCAAACATAGAAACCCAAAGCCAAACACAGAATAAACTCGTTGTGTGATTTTTTGGAGAGAGGGTCGAAGAAAATTCTTTTTCACAATACAATGTCGAGGCTGATAGAGGGAGAGGACCCAATCGTCTCTACTGACGTAGTGTCTCACGAAGTACGTGGCGCTTTTGCACACCGACTTACAGTATCAGACACTAGATAGATGCGGCGCATCGCACATGCCTTCATGCAGCACTTCACTCCTCTCTAACCAGCTGGCAGAGCAGCTCCTCGTCGTTGTGAGAGTTGGCGACCCGCGCGAGCACGTGGCCGTGGCAGCTGAGCGGCACGCAGAAGCAACCCAGCGTCTTGCCTCGCAAATCGCGCCGCGCCTGAGACAGGTAGACATGTGCGAACCGCAGCGCTGTGAGACGCGGCGCGGCGAGCGCGGGACAACCTCCGCCCTCATCTCCGCCCTCTCTGGCGCCATGAGCCACTCCGTGTACTGCCGAATCACGGAGCCACGGCTCGCGCCTGCTCACACCACCAGCTTGTGAAGAGGCGCTGTGTCGCGGCCCAGATCGCTCGCGGGCGCAGCGACTCCGCGCCGCCGCCCATCGAGAAGGGGTTGCCCCACCTACTCACAGCGCCGAGCGTGAAGAGGCGCCGTTCACAGCGCCGACCACCGCGAGGGCGCTGCCCCCCACCCCCACTTGACGTGCCCGCCGCTCACCTTCTTGCCCTTCGGGGCCGAGTCGGGACGCCCGACGTACACCTATGCTCAACCATGACTCGCCTGCGTCACTCGCCCTCAGGCGGCCTCGGGGCCGGACCAGGACCCGGCATCACCTAGTCAACCATGAGTGCCACTCCAGCCCTCGCCCTTCGGGGGCCGAGTCGAGACGCCCGACGGCACACCTTGCACTTGTTGTCGTGCAGATTGACCACCAGCGCCTAATCACATCGGGATGGCGGTCCCATACCAGCTGCCGCTGCCCTCGTCGGAGGATCCGGCGCCTTGATGTCGTCAGGGATCGGGCCAAAGTCGAGTGGGCCGTCGCCGCCGCCGCCTGAAATTGGTAACCAGGCGTCTGCTCTCCAATTCGCGTCAGCAATCACTCAGGTTGGCTGTTTGCCGGCGGGGCCGTCGCCCGCGTCCGAGCTTGGTGGCGGGTCCCCCCCCAAGAGGGCGGCAAGAGCCGCCTCCGCCTGCTGCTTGAGGCTCCCGCTCGCCTCGATCTCGAGCAGGTTGTTGGCGCGCGCGATCAGCTCCCCGACGCCGCCCTCCGCCTCCACGCCCAGCTCCTCGGCAAGCCTGTTGTTGACACTCCCACACACTCACGAGGGAACCAATCTCACTCCTCCTCCCCGCCCAGCTCCGGCGAGCCTCGCCGCCACCGCCGCGTCCACAGCGCGCTCCTCCTCCTCACGCTGCGCCGCAGCGCGCGCCGCGCGCCGCGCGCCCGCCAGCCGCTCACGCTCTGCCTGCTCCGCCACCCGCCCCGCCGCCGCCTCGGCCGCCTCGGCCGCCGCTCGCCGCTCTCGCTCCCGCGACCTCTCTGCCTCCTCCCTCGCACGCTGCTCCGCCTGCTCCGCCTTTGCCGCGCGCCTGGCGTTCTCCTCCTCCGCCGCCGCCGCCGCGCGCGCCTTCTCCTCCGCCCTCCGCGCCGCCTCAAACGCCAGCTTCTCTTGCTTCTGCCGCCGCAGCTCCGCCTCGCGCTGCGACTCCTTCTCGCGCTTGCTGATCACCTTGTTTGCCACCTTCTTGGCGGCTGCCTCTCGCCGCTGCTGCTCCTTGACCTCGGGTCGGGGCCTGAGAGAGCACAGCCACGCCCAAAATCCGACGATAAGCCGCGCGAGCAGCTGCTGCAAACGCGAGAGCACGCTCGGCGGCTGCGGATCGCCGACTGCCGGAAGCAACAGCTCGTCGAGCGTCGGGGCGTCCCGAGGCGCCTTTCTCCGCTGACGGGCAGACGAGGACGGCGGCGCTGCGGCTTCTGCCGCGCCAGCTTCGCCTGCCGCGCCAGCTGCACGAAACTCCCAGCAGGAGGACTCGTCTGCCCAGATGAGCTCGGCACTTTGCGGACACACGATCATCCTGGTGCTGGCAAGCTTCTTGTGCCTCTTTCCAGTCAGGTGAGCAGCGACCATCTCGTCGGTCACGTCCACATCGCAGAGGCGGCAGCGACGGCTCATATTTCGCAGCGGCGCGGTGCCGCTGCGAGCGCTGGAAAGCACTCTGGCACAGAAAAGAATTGCCGCGCATCTCTGTGAGCGGAGCTGGAGCTGGAGAAAGAAACAATAAAAGAATTTATACGCCGGTGTCTGCGCCGAGTCGAGAGAGAGAGTATCGCCCGGTGATATCGCCCGGCCATGTCCTCGCCGCCAGAGCTCGACCCCCCTCCCGACATCACCGCCCTACCCGACGCGCTCCTTCTCCACATTCTCTCCTACCTGACTGCCGCGGCGCTCGGCCGCTCGGCCGCAGCCTGCTCGCGCTGGCGCACGCTCGCGTTGGACGACGAGGTGTGGCGCGGCGAGTGCAGGGCGAGCTTCGGGCTCGAGAGCAAGACGGACCCGAGCGGCGGCGCGTGCGCCTCCTTCGTGGAGGCCGCCCGCCACTGGACGGACTTCACCGTCCGCACGTTTGGCGCCTCCCAGCCGCCCGCCGCTGCCCGCGCGACGCTGGCGCCGCTCTGGCAGAGCGCGCGCGAGGCGTGGGGGTGCGTGAGCCGCTGGGCGGGCGATGCGCTGCCCGAGGCGAAGGCGACGCTCGGACCGCCGGCGAGCGCGACGGAGTGGCAGCTGTTTGTCTCGCGGCTCGGGCTCGAGGGTCTGCAGGCTGCAGCTCCTCCCTCTGCACAAGCCATGGTGTGCATTCCTGCTGCGAACGAGTCAGTTGAGCGAGGAGCCTCCTCCCTCAGGCCTCCGAGCCGCTCCTCGCGTACCGGCTCCTCAGCGCAGTCCACGACGGGCAGCGAGTGGCCTCGGACGCAGTCACAGGCTGCGCCCGCCACCTCCTCCGATCCCGCCCTCGCCCTCCCGCCCTGGCGCCGCCCCTACCGACCCTCCCCGCAACCCTCCCCGCAACCCTCGCCGCAACCCTCGCCGCAACCCTCGCCGCAACCCTCGCCGCAGCCCTCGCCGCAGCCCTCGCCGCCGGCCCTTTCCACCGCCCGTCCGCCGCCCTTCCCGCCGCAGCGCTGCGCCAGCTCCGCGACTTTGTCGACCCGGACCTGCGCCAGGCTCTGCACGCCGCGGCGAGCGGCTGGTACTCGCACCCCTCGGGGTGGGAGGACGAGTGCCTCGGCCTGGGCGGCGGCTTCTCGGCGTACAGCAACTTTGCCTGCTTGCGCCTGCTGCCGCTCCCTCTCGTTGCGGCGTGGACGGGCTTCCTACGTGCGCAGAGTGGCTTGCCGGAGCGGTTCCTCGTCGTCGCCGCCTGCTTCGGCGACGCGCCGCGCCTGCTCCTGTCCGACCTCGCCTCGGGCGATCTGCTGCTCGGACCGATCTCGCCGACGCCGCATCTCGAGGCGCGGCAGGTTGTGGCGGCTGGAAACCTGCGGCTGCTGCGTGTCGTGCCGGCCAGTGCGCCGCGCGGGCGCGACCTGCTCCTCCTGGCTCGAGGAGCTGTCCAGGACACCTCCACGACACGTCCACGACACGTCCCTCAGGCGCGATCTGCTCCTCTGGCTCGAGGAGCTCGGCCGCCGCCTCGAGGGCGGCGTGTACCTCGCGTCGCCCCTCGAGCCCCCCGACCCGCGCAGCGTCGGCATCTGCCTCTTCCCGCAGGCGAGGTCACCCGAGACCGCCCTAGAGATCGCCCCGAGACCACCTGTCTCGCGGTCTTCCTCTTCCCGCAGGCGGGCGAGAAGCACGTGAGCTGCGTCACCCGCGGCATCCGCGTGACCGCCTCCGCACTGTACGCGCCCGAGATGGCCACCTTCGCCTACTCGATCCGGCTCGCCCTCGTCGCGCCCGGAGAGGAGGGGCACCTGCCGGCCGCTCAGCGCGGCTTCGAGACGGCCGCAGCTGCCACAAGCGCGCGGGTCGGCCCTCCCACCGGACACGTCCACGACGCGTCCACCGCTAGCCCGCAGGCGCAGCTCCACACGCGCCACTGGGTCCTCAGGCAGGCCGACGGCGGCGCGGACCAGGCGCGCGGCAAGGGGGGGCGGGGGGGGCGGTCGGCCACGAGTGCAGAGCCCCTTCCTCGCAGACGCGCCCTCCTCTCCACAGGTGCACGGCAAGGGCGTGGTCGGCAATTTCCCGCTGCTGCGCGAGGGCGGCTGGCGCGGCAAGCAGCGCCACTCCGGCCGCGCGCGGGACACGTCCGGGACACGTCCGGGGCACGTCACCACAGGCGCGACGACAAGCAGCGCCACTCGGGCCGCATCGGGCAGGGCGAGTGGTGCGAGGGCGTGTTTGTGTACCAGAGCCTCAGCGGGCGCGGCTCGAGCATCTCCTTCGAAGGGTCGATCGACTTTGTGCCCGGCTCGCTCGAGGCGCCCGCCGGCGAGGAGTTCGCCGTCGCCGTGCCGCGCTTCCCCCTCCTCGTCGGCGCGGACGAGTACCTCTTCTGAGGGGTGCGCCTCTTCTGAGGCGCGGCGCCTCTCCGTCGGGGCTGGTCTCGGGTCATCTCGGATGATCTCGGGGCATCTCGGGCGCGCGCCGCGCCTGAAGCCGGCCGAGGTAGGAGGGTAGGGAGGGGGCACGGATGGTGGGCCTTTAGAGCGGGCTGTGCCGCGCGGCCGGGAGAGAAATGACCCGGGGATCCGACCTTTACTAAGCTCTTCACGTTCACCGCACTGACGACACACCGGCCCCTGACGCCCCCACTGCCACACTCGCGACTCGCCAGAGCCCAGACGAGACCCCAAAAGCGGAAAAGCAAAAGGCTCGCGCTCGTCCTCGTGGTACGTGGAGTCTAATGCTCGCGTCTCGCGGTGCAGCGAGAGGTCGAGGCAGAGGTCCTGGAGAGGTCAACCGCAATACGAACTAAACGAAGAAAGACGCCGCGCCTCTCTTTTATGGGCCACCGTCGCCGATGCGAAAACGCGTCTACAATACTGGAAAGAGACAGGAAAGAGAATGAATGGGACACTGTGCGTCTTGAACAGTCCCCACAGAGCTGACGGGACCGATCTCACAACTGATCGCCGGCTGCGACGACCTCGGTCGGCGTGATCTGATAGAAGGAGACCTCCCGCGTGTCGTGGAAGGTGGGGCGTCCGCCCGCCATCACCACGAGCAGCGCGCGCGGCGCGTAGAGCAGCGGCGCGAAGGGGTCGAAGCCGACCGAGACTGCCTCCGCCTCCGTGGCGCACACGCGGAAGCCGTGCGCGCTCTTGTGGGTGCACGGCCCGCCGCAGACGCGCGAGGGCTGGAAGTGGGAGGTGGTGCAGCCGATCCGGTACTCTGTCACGCCGTCCTCGATGTCGACGAACCGCAGCGACGGGCTCGCGCCAGCCGGCCGGCGCGTCGGAGCCCGGCTGGCGGCCGGCTGGCGACTCGAGTGCCGGCGGCTCGAGCGTGGCAGCGCGGCAACCACCTTGTACCAGCGGCGGCGGCGCAAGTCGCCCTGCTCGCGACGGACGTGCGACAGGTAGTCGTGCGACGCGAAGCCCTGCGAGAGGCTCTCCTGCGAAGAGAGCGCCCACTCGTCGGGCGGCGGCGCGACCGCGCCAAAGCCACCTCCGCAGCCGCCTCCGCAGCCGCCTCCATAGCCGCCTCCATAGCTCCCTCCACAGCCGCCTCCGCAGCCGCCTCCGTAGCCGCCTCCGCCTGCACCGCCGCCCGCTTGGACCGGCGCGGCGCAGTCGGCGCCATCGTCCGACCGCAAGCCGAGACGGCGCACGTCCCACCACGCCGCCTCCGGCGCGCTGAAGGGCACCCCCTCCGCCCCCTCCGCCCCCTCCGCCGCCGCAGCCTTGGCCGCGGAACGCTCGTCCGGCGTGCGGCCTGGCGGGCCGCGCCTCGGCGGGACGTAGCTGGGCGGCGGGCGGGCGAGCACGCACCTGTGCCTCTGACGCCAGCCGAGGAGCGCCGACGGCGGCGGCTGCTGCACCCACGCGGCCGACATGGGCTGCTGCTGTGCGGGATGCGGTGCGGCATGCGGTGCGGGATGCTGTGCGGGATGCTGTGCGGGAAGCTGTGCGGCCCTGCCGACAGCATCCTCCCGCGCACAGAGCCCGCCGCCGTCCCGCCAGCGCCTCTCTCCTCGCCCGTGCGCAGCGTCCGCGTCGCTCCCTCCCTCGGGCGGCGCGCCGGCAGGCCCTCGCCCCCCCCACTCCTCCTCACGCCACCGGGCCCGGTAGTCGCTGTCGGGCGACGGAAGCGCCCCGGCCGCCACGCCCTCACGCTCCCAGCGCGCGCGCTCGCGGCTGCCCGTCGCTCGCGGCCCGCGCGGCGTCCCGGCGGGCGGGAGCCCGATCTCCCCGTGCTCCACCCGCCCGCGGACCCCGAGATTGACATCTCGATCTCGCACGCCGAGATCGAGCCGCTCCCGCGGCCCGCTCGGCGACAGGAGGTCGGCGCTGGCGGCGGTACAGCCTAGAACCTCGGCCACGCGCGCCGCGACGCGGCCACGGACGGCGGCAGGCCGGCCCCCGCCGCCGCTCTCGGTCGGCGCAGACGCGCCGCGGCTGCAAGGTCCCGCCGCGGAAGCGCCGCCGCCGCCTCCGCAGCTGGTGCGTCGCCGCAGCCGCTCCGCGTGGTAGGCGGCGTCCGACGCGAGCAGAGCCGCCTTGCGCGCCACGTCGGTATCGAGCGCGCTCCGCCACTGCCTCGTCAACGAGCCCTCCAGCCTTGAGCCATCTGGCTGCGAGCCGTCCCACCACGAGCCGTCCAGCCGGCGCGCAGGCTGCGGCGTGGCCACGCTGCTGCCACGCTCGCTGCCGCGCTCGCTGACACAGCCTGTCGCCGCGAGCTCTCGAAGCATGCTGCATGCGCCCCCGTCGACAGAGGAGGAGGTCAGCTGGGTTCTCTCCTCGAGCCTGCACGGCGTCGGAGGCGCCTCGGGACCCAGTGAATGCCTCCCGTCCACGCGCCCAAGTTCTGAGCGACTACTGGACCTGCTGAGACTGCTGAGTGCTGTCGGCACCTCCTCACCCGTTCCGTCGCCCGTCTTCTCCACGAGCTGCGCACGTGCAGCTAGCAAAGCGTGGATGGGGTCGTCGGCAGCCTCGTCGGCTGCAACCAGCCTGGACCGTGCAAACCCTAACGCGGATCGCTGATTGGCTGCCACCGGTAGAGTTGATGTCAGATGTGTCGGATCGTAGTCCCACGCCTGCTCGACGGATGCTCGGGCCGGGCGACAGTGCCCCGGCCGTTGGGACATCGAAAAGAGAGAGCCTCGGGTTGAAATTTATTTGTGGTGTATCGTTTATTTTTGCTTGGGGCGGGCCTGATGCTGATCTGCAAAAACCTGGCCGGCCCCTGCGGTGCCCCTACCTACCTACCTACCTACCTACCTTACTTATGGGAAACTAAATAAGAAATCACTGGAGCGGTGAAGGTGGGGTACTATACCAACTAGAGTGATGGTTGGTGATACTCTCCTGCAACCACAATCCTTCTTGTGACATGGCAGGCCACTCTCAAGCCCTACAAGCATCAGATCACCCATTTGGGGAGGGTTGACATCGTGATTTCCGCGGAAAATTTCTTTTTTTGAAAATTCCAGCTTGAAGAGAGGGAAAACCCCGACGGGAGGGCCCAGACCTACCCTACCTACCCCGGCATCAGGCCCGCCCAAGCAAAAATAAACTACACCTGGTAATCGTAACATTAATTCTCGCGCACGTCACTCTTGGCAGCCGAGGAGAGCGGTCTGCCTCCACCCACCACAAATGCCCGCAGATTTGAGTTTTGGGACGGCCGTACTTTGCGCTCGGCCTGCTCGGCCTGCCATGCCCGCGCGCGCCTCGCCCGAGCGCAGCCACCCGCGGACCTCGCCCGAGCGCAGCCACCCGCGGACCTGGCCAGCCTGTTCCTGGCTCGTGCCCAGCCTCCTTCCGCTGCCGGCCTCGCAGTCCCGCCTGCCATCACGCTGCAGAGCCTGCGTAGACGCCAGAGACGCCAATTCTGCAGCCCACAGCCCTGGCAACTGAGGGCGAGGGCCAGCAGTATACGACGACGACGAAATCTCACACCCCGCGCTGGCCAGCGCCATCAGCCCCTCACGGCCCGGCCCAACCGCCCTTCGCTAGCGCCATCGCCTCCAGCGCCTCCAATCAGGTCGCACCTCTCTTCTTCAGCCAATGCAGCGGCAGCACCACGTCAGAGGCCGGGCCGACTGGCGGACCTGCAGCCAGCCATGCCTCCCCCTCCCCACCGGCTTGGATCGACCAGCTCCACCAGCCGTCTCGAACCTGGAGGGCATGTTGGGCTGGACGGTACCATTGCTTCTCGACATCCCACGGCGACAACTCCGTCTTCCAGGAACCGATCGAAAGAGAGAGGGTCCCCGTGCTCCAAATGCTCCTCTCGAGGTTCTCGAGGTGGATATCCTTTGGCCGCGTTGGGTAGCGAGGATTGGTGTGACGCGATCCACGCAGGCGTGTTTTCTGACGGCCGACCGTCAGTGCAAGGAGTTGCCCCTTCTCCGACTGCCCCGGCTAGTTCACGAGTTTCGCAAATGCTCCAAAAGACTCGCCGCGACGCCCCGGGGGACCATTATTTTGGCGACTGAGCCTGCCGCGCTCGATCTGGGAGCCACAGTCACAGAGAAATGTACAATACAACACTCTCGCTCACCACACACACTAGGCACGGGACTGGCGCCTGAGCCCTGGTGTCGAGGTGTCGAGGCCCGGTGTCGAGGGTGTCGAGCTGCTGTCGAGGGATAGAGGTGTCCAGGCCTGTCGAGGCCTGTCGAGGCCTGTCGAGGCCTGTCGAGGCCTGTCGAGGCTGAAACCATGCTTGTCCGTGTCGAGGAGTGTCGAGGGGTGTCGAGGGTGTCGAGGGTGTCGAGGGTGTCGAGGGTGTCGAGCGGGTGTCGAGCGGGTGTCGAGTGTTGTCAAGAGGCGTCTGAGGTATCGAGGTGTCCAAGGTGGCAGGTGGATGCAGTTGCAGCCCATCAACATACAACAAAAGTTGGGCAGCAGTTGCAAAGCTGTTTCATCCCTTAGTTGCAGCCTCAGTTGCACCCTGTTGATGTAGCACAACCTGAGCACAACCAGTATACTCTCTGTGGACATTTGAGGACATCAAGTGCCGGGAGTCATTGCCACTGTGCACCAAGGTGCTGTGCAGGCGCAGCACCGCAGCAGCGTCGCTGCTGCAGCAGCGTCGCTGCTGCAGCGTCACCGGCGCACAAAGCGCAACTGACCACAGCGCTCATGGCACAAGGCTGGTGCCATGAGTCAGTGGACATTGCCACTGCACAAGGTGCTGTCCAGCAGCTAAGGGCTACAGTACCCCATCGCAGCAGCGTCGCCGCCGCTGCAGCGTCGCCGTTGCAGCGTCGCCAGTGCACAAAGCGCAATGGACCACAGGTCTGCACTCATGGCACAAGCTCACTGGTGTGAGGATTCATTGCCACTGTACAAGGTGCTGTGCAGCACCTTAGGGCTACCTGAGTACTGCCATGTTTGCTGCATCAACAGGGGTGCAACTGAGCTGCAACTTGAGCTAGAACTTGAGAGGCTGCAACTCAGGGATGAAAGTACTGCCAGCCAAGTTTGATTGCTGCTGCAACCCTGATTTCTAACTCTGTGACTCCAATGGGTCTACGTCTCTGCTGTGTTAGGATCATCAGAGGTGTCGAGCGGTGTCGAGCGGTGTCGAGCGGTGTCGAGCGGTGTCGAGGGGTGTCGAGGGGTGTCGAGGGGTGTCGAGGTGTCGAGTTTGGCACCTTGACACGGACGAGCATGGTTTCAGCCTAGATGGTGTCGAGGGGTGTCGAGGGGTGTCGAGTTTGTCGAGTTGGCATGGGTTGTCGAGGTGTCGAGTCGGTGTCGAGGTTTGGTGTCGAGGTGTCGAGGCCAGGGCTCAGACTGGCGCGCACTGGCGTGTCGGTTTTCTAAAAATCTCTCTAACAGGAGGACCGGTGCCAGAAAAGTGAAAAGAGAATTTGACGAGATGTCGACATCCTCGTGCCGCCGGTCGTCTGCCAGGTAGCTCGCAAAATAGTGCATGTGCTCGAGGAGCAGCTCCCGCGAGCAGTAAAAGTCGCGGTTCACGCGACGGCCCTCGTCGCGCACGTGGATGATGATGACGTCCTCGGGGGGCACCCCGCCGCCGCCGGTGAACTCCTCTGGCAGCGCGCTGCTGCCACCCAGAGGCGCGCTGCTGCCGCCCGGAGGCGCGGCGCTGCCGCCGCCCGAACCTCGCGCAGCAGCGCTGACTGCCGCGGCGGCAGTGGTATCGATCGCCGCTCTGCCCTCAGGCGGTCCCTCCTTGGACGGCCCGCCGCGCGCCTCGCAGGCGGGCGCCGCCGGACCAGCAGAGTGCCCACGCCGTGTCGCTGCTGGTGTGGCCGCAACGGACCCGCCTCTGCAACCGCTGCTGCTGCACACGTCCCTCGAAGACGACACGTCGCTCCTCAGCGCCCCCTCACCCCTGCCCGCCTCGCCCCTCGCCAGCTCGCCCCTTGCCGGCGGCGCCTCGCTCCGCGACGATAGCGAGATGCTCGAGGCGGACTTGCTGAGCAGCCTCTCGATGGGGGCGACCTGCGCGCCCGGATGGGCCGGCGCCGGTCCAGCCGTGGCCGAGTGCGCCGTCGTGGCGTGTCGTGGAGCCGCACCCGAGGTGGCAGGCGCGCCCTCGCTCAGCCCGCCGGTCGCGCCCGGCGCATTCCCCGGGGGCGACGTCCTCCTCGCCACCGGGGTCGTGCTCGACTCGGCAATCCCGGAGGCTGGCCGGCCGGACCACATCAGGCAGGCGTGTCCCCCTCCCGCGCCGGGCTTGGGCGCGCGCAGCGCCGCCGCCAGGGCGGGCGTGCCGAGCGTGGGAGACGATGTCGACCCGAGCCCGAGGTGCGCGATGCCCCCTGCCTCGTGGGGATCTGGCCCGGGGGTGCTGCCAGCGTGCGGGCCGAGGCTAGTTGGCCGCGTGCCGAAGCTTGTGCTACCTCCTGGTGCCGGCTGCCCGGGCCTCGGAGGCCCATTGACCGCCGGCCTCATGGCGCCCAGGCCGTTTGAGAGCGTGCGTGAGGGCGGCGCGACTGGCCGGCCGCCGGTGAGCGCTGAGGTGGCCGACGTCGGGCGCACAGGGTGCGTGGAAGACGGCGCGGTCCCACCTGGCGAGAGCAACCGCGATGTGTGATGCACCACAGCTGAGCTTCTCAACCCTCATCTGCACCATCGACGCCGCTGAGAAGGGGCAGGCGCGTGGCGGTGGCAGAGATTGGGAGAGAGAAGGCGGGCGGCGCGCACCTCGTCCGCGGAGGAGCAGACCCTGCAGTCCGAGCGGAGACTGGCCCGAGATCGAGCTCGCTCCCGGCCGCGAGAGAGGCCTCAGCGTTCCGTCCGACATTGAGTCGGGCGGGCACCGCAAACAACGTTACGTGATAGAACGCCGGTTGGCCGCTTTGTGTATCTCGAGACCTCGAGAGAAGGCCGCGCGTAGGCTCCCCGGGGGCCCAAGAGAAGTGCCACTGCGCGCCAGTCCCGTGCGCAGAATACTCTAAAAAAGAAATAACGGAAGAAAGAAGAGAGAAAGAAACCCAAACGAGGGATGTGGGCACCGCAGCCCCATTCGCCCGCCTTCTCTAGTCCGACGGGGCACCTCGTCCCTGTCTGCGGGTCGACAAAGTGGCAGCGAGCAGGCATGGGGCATGCGGCGCCGGTGGTGTTTCTTCGTGTTGCGATTTTTCTTTCTCAAAGCGCTGACACACACCCTTCCCAATGCAGACCGAGCGGGCGACCATCGTGCTGAAAGTCCGCAATCTGACGGAGTCGGACCGGGAGTCGCTGCCCCGCGCGCTGATGAACCTGGAAGGTGTTTGTAATGCAGCGGTCGACGTGTTGAGTGGCGTAGTGCGGGTCGATGGCGCCGCCTCCGACTCGGAGCTGTTGCGGGCGCTGTCGGCACTCGGCAAGCAGGCGGTGGTCGTGACGCACACGCGCGGCGCAGGCGGCGCGGCAGCACGCCCGCCTAGCTCCTCTGCGGCGATGCGGGCCAAGCTCTTCCTGCGGCTCCTCAAGCGCAACGCCAACTGCTGCAGCTAGGAGTGTCTTGCTGCGCGACAAATGCGCTTCCCTACCCGTGCATGCGCCCAGACTCAGACATGGAGGCGGTGAGAGAGCGTCGGAATGTATAGGTTTAGCAGAGACCCTGTCGACTATGTACATCTGTTTTCGTGTGTCGCGTGGGGTAACAGGTGTAAGGTCCTTCCGAGTTCCGGGTCACCAGTAAGATAAGGTAAAGCGTAAACTTCTACACATGTACTGCGCAGAGGGCCGAAGGTTTTGCGGCTCATGCTGGCACTGAGAACAAAATCGCCCCCCGCCCCTCGACCTCCGACTCACTCAGACTCACGGACGCCGGC